CGGCCGCGGGCGCCGGCTGCCAGGGGGATTTGCCCGTCAGACAGGCGTGCTGTGGGGCGGAGGGAGAGGCGAGAACTTCGTCACTGGCACACTGACATAAATCGGAGCGGGGATTGAATGTCGCCGGCCGTTTGCTGGCTCAGTGGTCTTTCCCAAGCACAGGCGGCCAGACAGGATGACAACCGCACGGCTGCGACAGATCCGAGGCGGGCCTGCCAGGGGACCCTGAGCAACCTGGAAGGCAGTGAGCCCCGCGCCAGCCGGGCAGGGCTGGTTCACTGCGGCACGGCCCCTGAGCAAGAACGTTCTGAAGTCGGGGTCCACTCCCCCCGTGCCGTCTCCTTCGCTCCTGTGTCAGCATGGTGAATGAGTGGTGAATGACAGACACGCAGGGTTTCAAAAATGTGAACTATCTGCTTGGGGTTTTTCTGGGTTTTGTTTTTGGCCTAGGCATCTGAATGCACTAAGCAGAAGATCCCAGACGAAACCAGAAGTTTCCACGAAGTGAACTTCGACTTTGCACGCAGTACCAATTATCAGATGAACAAAAGCTACGTACAGACGTATCTACTAATTGCCAGTGCCGAGGGAAATGGTCAAACGCATGAGATCCTTCGGGCCTGGCTCCGGCGTTTGTTATTTCACAAGTGAAGGAGATGGAAAGAGAAACAGATACTTTTCTGGAAGAGAGAAGGGGCTTGGGGAAAGCATTTTGGTTACTAAGCATAGGCTCCACGAGCCTCACTGAAATTTCACAACGATCTTGGTTCTGAAGTTGATTGGAGGCAACTCAGAGCACAACTGGCCAAGGCTGAGGTTTTCAGCGGAAGCTACATTATTTTAAGAGTCTGAGCCCCGGGCTCTGGTGCAGATGGAACTGTGCGATGTTATTAGCCCAGAGGTTTTGGGACAGTGAAAACGGCCGAGAAGGGGCCATGGCCGAACAAGGGTGACATTTCAGGGTTTGCGCTAACCAGCTGCCTGACCTACGACCCATCGCTCACCTCTCCTGGCCTCAGTTTCTCACTTCTGAAATGAAGGGTTCGCACCAACACCTCTCATCTGGCAGCAGCCAGCAACGTCTGGGGTGTTTTGTCATGACTCGGGGGGAAGGGGTGCTCCTGGCATCCGGCGGGTAGCCACCGGGATGCTCCTGGGTGGGGAAATCTGATTTCAGCTAGATCGGACTAGATTTCCCACAAGGTAACACCCAACCCAAGCATCCTGCTGTTCTAGAGATAGCATTTCAATGACTTCCTTCCATGCCCCTTATTTTTAAGCTGTCCCAAACTATTGATCTTTAGTATAAGTAATAATTTGTACATATTACCAAAAACACGTGGGTGATAAGTACTTTTTAAAAATCCTCACCCAAGGACACATTTGTTGATTTTAGAGAGAGAAAGGGGGGATGAGAAAGAAAAGAAACACTTTTCAATGTTTAGAACAACTTTTTTTAAGATTTTATTTATTTATTTTTAGAGAGGGAAGGGAGGAAGATAGAGAGAGAGAAACATCAATGTGCGGTTTCTGGGGGTCATGGCCTGCAACCCAGGCATGTGCCCTGACTGGGAATCGAACCTGCGACACTTTGGTTCCCAGCCCACGCTCAATCCACTGAGCTACACCAGTCAGGGTAGAACAACAACTTTTAATTTTAGAATTAAACTTCCTAAGTCTTTGGGGACAGTTTCTTAATGAATATTTGCAGCCACTGCTGGTACTGCTTCAAAGTCTTCCAGAGTATAATGTCTACCCTGGCATTAAAACTCACCTTTCCGGAGGCTCCCTGGGGACTTGTTTTCGGGATACGTGATTTCACCGGACGGCACCTTCGGTGCTGAAAGAGGCAGGAAGCCTGTGGAGGGCCCGGGCTGCGGGAGCCAGGGGGGAGGCAAGGCCTTCTGCGCGAGACTGTGGCTGCTGGGTCTGCCCACAGGCATTAAAAATAAAGTAAAGCAGCCCTGGCTGGCGTAGCTCAGTGGATTGAGCTCGGGCTGTGAACCAAAGTGTCGCAGGTTCGATTCCCAGTCAGGGCACATGCCTGGGTGGCAGGCCACGGCCCCCAGCAACCATACATTGATGTTTCTCTCTCCTCTCTCTCTCTCTCTCCCTCCCTTCCCTCTCTACAAATAAATAAGTAAAATCTTAAAAATAAATAAATAAATAAAATAAAGCAAAACACGTTTTCCCCACAAAACGCCCTTCCATGTGCGTCTTTTCCAACAGGGGCTTCATTGAGAAAATCCACTTTCTGTTCGCTGACCCCCGCCCTTCCCCCAAAGCCTGCGTTAGGTGCCCCCGCCGCCACCGGGTGCTTCCAGAAAACCCCGTGCCTCGGGCGGCATTGAACTTCTCCTACTTCAACCGGAAGTTCTGCGAGTCTTTTTCCTAGTCTTCTTTCTACTTGAATTCCTCTTTCGTAGGAAAAAGAAGAGTTCCTGGAAGTACTGATGATGTCAGTGAGATGCTTCGTGATTTTCTTCCATGATCTAACGAGGGCGGATGCGGTGATACAGAGGCCATTGTCCTTGTACAAACCAGCAGGTGGTGGAGGCTAGAACTCTTGCTCTGTGGGCAGCGGGGTTGTTTCCTTGACAACAGAAGAGTGTGGGGTCAGAGCAGGCCATCTTCAAATAGACGAAGTTCTGTTTGGAACAGTTGTAACTTAACCCACCCGACCCTAAAGGAGAGAGCCATGCCCACGCCCATGCGCAGAGTGTGGGGGTTCCAGGAGACGAATCCTGGCGCCCCGCGAGGACGATCTCTCCGGCGCTCGGCCACGTCCACGGCGGCGGGCTCATGCGGCGCAGCAAGAGATTGCGAGCGGCTGCTCGGGATCGGAGGGGGTGACGGAGCTGAGCATCAGGCAGTGCTGCTCCGACGTTGTCCTCTGTGAACCCACGATTCTGGGTGAAGGCCGAACAACCTCCCGCTGCTGTGCCTAGCCACAGGGCCCCGACGCCAGGCAGTGACGACAGAGGATGAGGCAGACGGAGGTGAGCTGGGTGGGGACAGCACGGAGCAGAGAAAAGGGCAGGGGGGAGCAAAGGCCATCTTGGGAGTGACCGCCGACCACGGCACCCGTCGCTGCCCTCCGTCGCCCTGCATGGTGTCCTCGCGGCAGCTCTAATCGGAGTGCGGTTGCCGGTTTGGAAGAGAAGTTAGGTGCTTGCCCCGGGGACGCGGATGCTCCAGGGCAAGGCTGGACCGGGGTCTGGCTGTGGGGACTCTCCCCCCAACCTCGCCCTGCCCTGCCTGCCGTCACCGTCCCCTCGCGCCGCCCAGAGAACATGCGTCGCTGTGACACAGCCTGCCTTCCATCACCCTCATCTCGGGCGGCCGCACCTGAGCGGCACGGCACCTTTCCGCCGTGTCAGGCAGCGACGGCCGACACCACCCCACACAACACACGGCGGTGGAGCCTGCAAAACGTCCTCTGCTTCGCTGGCCGGTCGCCTGCTTCTGCCCGGCCGGCCTGACGCCTGGCTTGCCATCGGGTGGGCGTCCCGGGTGCCCTCCTGGACTGCTGCTCCCTGTCCTCTGGTGGGGGAGCTGGGGGAGTGAGTCTGGGCACGAGCGGCCTTCCCCAGTGCCGCCCGAGATAGCATCCTGGGGACAGTATTTCTTCCCATGACAAAGCAGCCTGACGAGAGATTGAGAAATACTTCCGATATTAATTACAGTGACCCACCCGATCACAGGGGTTACGTGACCGTGCGGGGCTGGATCGGGTCACGCTCTGGCCACACTCCCGAAAGTGCAGGCGCCCCCAAAAGCGGTCAGCTCCGTGGCAAGTCCCACAGGTCCCCCATCTGCGGTTTCTCCCCCCAGTCGCTCACTGCCCGCGTGGCTTTGCTGTCACCCGAGGAGGAGGGCTTCACGGCAGCCCCGCTGTGGGCTCCGCTCCCGTGGGAGTTTGAAGCTGGACCCAGCCCAGCGTGACCAGGCAAGGCCAGCGCGGTAAGTGATCTGCGTTCTCCCTCCTCCTTATCTGGCGGTTCTGTAAGTAATCCACGGTGGATTTCAACACCGTTTCTCTTTGGCAAGCGACACCCTTCTGGCCTCTCACCTGGTGCCCTCTTGCAGGTACACCTGGTGTCTTGGAAGGGAATCAGGCCCAGGACAAGGGACTGTGATGTTTCCTAGTGAAAGGTGGCCAGAGCCACCTCTGGGCCCCTGGGAGTGGAGGCGGGGTTATGACCTTGGTCACTTATTAACTCCCCAGCCCCTGGACACTTCCAGCAAATGACAGGGGGCAGGAGGAGTGTGGGGACACCCACCCCTCAGGTCCTGACTCCTCCCTAAGGAAACAAGAGGCGGCCACTGTGGTGGGGAGGGGGACTGCTTGGGGTCATGCCCTCAGACCGTGCTATCAGCAGAAGAAAAGGAGGAAAGAAGAGTGCACTCGCTGTCTGGTACTCCAAGGGGCGGAGCTGACAGTGGGCCGCTTTGCGTGGGGGCTTCCCACCGCAGCCTGCCCCTTCCGCCCACCAGGAAACGGGTTGCCCGTTTCCCTCGCACGTGGGTGCCCCCAGCATGGTGCTAACAGGGCATCCTGACCACAGGCAGCAATAATAGCTAAGGCGACAGGACAGCACCCTGAGGACTCTCCTGCCTCACACTTGACCTACGTGCGTGCCGGCCATTTTTCCTCACTAATGGGTCAAGGGGAGGACGCTTTCGGGTTGAAAGGTGAGCACTGGCCTTCTTTCAAAAGGAGGATCGTAAACTTCAGACGAAGACCCAGACGAGCAGCCGCGCAGCCGGGGGGGTCCAGTGCCCATGCGGCTGTGGGTGGCCGGACCCACGGTGGAGGCCGCGCATCTCCTCGGATGCGGACCTGGGCTCGGACCCAAATCCGCGTGATTCACCTCGCCCCAGGCGAGCGCAGCCAGAGGCACGTGCGTCCTCCGGCCCCCCAGGGCGGAGGGCGGACTGTGTGGGTGAGGTGCGGACGTGCCCCCTTCCGGGACAGTGGGTGTGCTGGGGAAAGGTTATCACGGCGAGCACAGTGCTCGTGACAGGCGAGCACTCAGGTTTCTTGCCCCACGAGGAACACAGAGGGGGGATTGTTTGTGGAGCCGGCATGGGGCAGGGACGCGCTCGGGGAGTGTGACGGCACAGCCAGCACGGCGTCTGGCCGGGCCCCTCGCTCAGGCACGGGGGAGCCTCTCTCAGGCTCAGAGGGGCGCAGCGGGACGAGCCCTGCCAGAGGAGACCTCGGCGGGAGGCCGCCCGGCCACGGGAAGGCCTGGACCAAAGGCTGCCTGCCCCCTGTGCAAAGTAAACACGCGCTCGCTCACTCTTGGACTTTTGCTCCGGAGTTGTGCTGAGCTGGCCGCAGCCTCTCCCGGCGGGGACTTGGAGGCAGTGCCGGCAAGCGCCTCGGGAGCTCTCCTCCTGCAGCCATCATGCCCACGGTGGACGACATTCTAGAGCACATAGGGGAGTTCGGCTTCTTCCAGAAACGAACGTTCTTCCTCCTGTCTCTGCTGTCGGCGTCGTTCGCCCCCATCTACGTGGGCATCGTCTTCCTGGGCTTCACCCCGGACCACCGCTGCCGCAGCCCCGGCGTGGCCGAGCTGAGCCGGCGGTGCGGCTGGAGCCTGGCCGAGGAGCTGAACTTCACGGTGCCCGGCCCCGGGCTGGCGGGCGAGGCCTTCCCGGGTCAGTGCCGCCGCTTCGAGGTGGACTGGAACCGCAGCACCCTGGGCTGCATGGACCCTCTGGCCGAGCTGGCCACCAACAGGAGCCTCCTGCCGCTGGGCCCCTGCCGGCACGGCTGGGTGTACGACACCCCTGGCTCCTCCATGGTGACCGAGGTAAGTGAGGCAGGACTTAGGGACGAGAGAGCAGGTGGTGCAGCTTCTCTTAAGGAAGAAGCCGGTGGGGCCCAGGCGTGCTCTTGGGACTCCAGGTATCTCACAAAACCCCGGTTTCTGACAAAGACGTGCAGCCTCTTACCCGTCTGGAGCATGAGTGGGTGCGTTTAAACCTGGTCAAATTCAGGCAATAATGATTCTCACTCATGCAACTCTCACCACTAAGAAACAAGCAAAACCATACGAATTCCCGGCAGGAAAGGGAAATTTTTCAAGCCTCCTCTTTTGGGGGAAGCCCTACCTCCCCCTCCAGTCCTCCTTCAAGCTCTCGGGACTCACCCGAACGGTGCCGCACTGCGAAACCAGGCACTGGTCTCTTAACGGTTATTGTTTTCTATTTAATTTGCTCAGAGGGTCCACATGAAACCACTGAGGGGCGGAGCTTATGCTATGGTACTATTATGTTACTAAACATTACTGGCAACATCAACATCCAGTTGCAAAACTTCACTTCAGTAAATATAGAGAAAATTTAAAAAACAGACTTGCTTTCATTAGAGGCAAATCAAAAGGCGGGGATGCAATTATTCTGCAAATACAGAGAACACCCATTGCCTGGCTTAATTTTAAAAGACTGCTTGGATAGTGTGTCGGAAGATGTTCTGTATGAACAGACGTGTTTAGGTCGAGGGGCCTTGTCTGAGGGTCTGAAATGGCCTGATAGGTCCATGAAATGTGGACGGTCACAGATTCCACACCATAACGGCTTTAGGAGGCTTTACAGCGTGGCTGACCTCACCCCTTCCTACAGAGCTGAGGAAACGGAGACCCAGAGCAGAGAAAAATTTTGCCCGAGGCCACAGAGTGAGAGAATTAGCCGTCAGCCCTGGCAGCCAGAACTGCTGACTTCCAGGCCGGCACCTGTTCCAAAAGAGAGCGAACCAAGCGTGACCACCCTAGCAGGGAGCTCCTTGACCCCCTCCCCTCACCCCCCACCGCTGTTAAAGAGACAGCCGCGAGACACTGCATGGCCCAACTTCTCTGGGGGCTTCGGTGTACACCTCTTTGCTTCTGTGCATTAAAATTAGAAAGGGAAGTGGTTTTGTACAGAAATGAAGCAATTACCCAGTTTCAGCAGGCTGAGCCAACAACAGCATGTAGCCTGATGACATGCTACCAGATGGAATGCTACGCTGATTGCAGGACAAATCTCTTGGCTGCGCAGGGAATATGAACATGATGGCGAGAAATCCATCCAGTGGGTTGGTTGCCCCTCGACCCCGTCCGTTCAATGCACCGGACACAGATGAGTCCCCCGGGGTGGAGGGGCCTCTGACAGGACCTTGTCTTCTCTCCCTCCTGCCCGGGACCCCTCTCGCCCTCGGCAGTTTAACTTGGTGTGCGCCCGCTCCTGGATGCTGGACCTGTTTCAGTCGGCCGTGAATGCGGGATTTTTCGTGGGCGCCGTGGGCATCGGCTACGTAGCAGACAGGTGGGTGCTGCACGTCCCAAAAGCACCTGGGCTCCCCCGCCCCGGCTGGAGCGCCCTGATCCCCAAACCACACAGGCTGCAGCAGCCCTGCCTCGTGTCACTTGCCTTGACAGTCTCGGACTTCTTCTGCTGGGGAGAGAAGCCAGGCCTCTGTCTTTCTTCCTTTTCCAGTTCTCGGGGGGTAGAGGCACGTTTCGGTATGAGGCGGTGGTCTTTCTCGGGGGCTGTCCAGAAGCTGAGGGCTCAGAGGGAGAACGGCAGGTGATTTGATCTTGTGGGGGCCCGGGCCATTCCCTGGCCTCACCGCCACCCATCCAGTGTGCGCCTCCAGGCCTCCGAGCTCCGTCCGCCCTTGGCCTGCCTGTCCTGGGCGCCGAGCGAGCAAACACAGGCCGCCCGTGCGATCACAGGGCCCCTGGGTCAGGGCCCGGGCCAGGTGCCATCACAGGTGCGGGGCCTGGGATGAAATGGGGTGAAAGGGAAGTGGGCCTGTCTGTGCTGAGGACGTCACTGCCACTACCATAACGTCCGAGTCACTGGAGAGAGACAAGGAAAACCAGTGGGGGGGGGGCGGGGGACGTCTGGCCAGTGGCCCGTGTCTCCAGGTCAAGCGTTCAGGGACCCCGAGCTCCCCCGTCCCTGTCATGGACCCCAGAGCCCCAGACCCACTGTGCTGAGAGCTCCTGATAGCCAGCACCTCTTCTCCGCGGGCGGTCAGTCGATAGTTTCAGGAACAGATAAGGAACAGGAAGATTATCTTTACACCGGCTAAGCACTTTAGACAGCGGGGCTATTGGGGCTGATTATTTAATACCCATCCTGCCGACTGCCGAGTGTCTCCCACGGGCAGGCAGCGTGCTCTCCAGTGTGGACGGTGTCCCTCATTCTCTGGCGTCATCGGCCACCTCGTGAGCCAGAGATGGGTGAATGTGTCTAAGTCGTATCATTGTATAGTTTTATACAAACACACAATACGCAGTGTTATAGAGCTATCCAATCACATCACAGTGTTATGTACAATACCACTATATACTTCATTCCAAAATGCATAGTAAATGAAATCTACTTCACGCTCGTCGTCCCAACTGTATCTACACCCAAACCTGGGAGTACAACAGTACATGTAAGTAGAACACTTTGATTACGTTACATTGTCAGGCTGGATTAAAAACTGGCTTGTTCAGTCAGGACGGCTTAATCTGTCACAGGCCCTGGGGCGGGGCGTCTGCGCCGTCACAGCCCCGCCCACTGGGGCAGCGGGAGGGAGGGAGGCTGAGGCCGAGGGGCCGCGCCACGGGCAGCTCCCCGGGACTGTCCACTCAGCCTCCCTTCCTGGGACTCTGTGTGGGGGACGTGTGGGGGGAGAGGACGGTCATTCTCTGTTATTTTCATCACCTCAGAACTGAGGACGGCTGGTCAGAGAGGACCCCTTAAGGCAGGGGAGCCCCTGAGGGAGGAGGGCCCCTGGGTCCCCTGTGCTCCAGAGTGTGGCTGTCGGGCCAGCTGCTGGCTCCGCCTCCACCCCTCCTCCGCCCCCAGGGGCAGAGCCTGACGCTCGTGTGGACAGACGGGCGCTGGCAGGTGCGGGGCCTCCCGGCTGGCCGAACAAGGGAGTTAATGATTCCCATCCCACCCAAGGAGCAGGAGAGAGCAGTTCCACTTTTCTACTGCCCCGGCATTCTTTACGCATAATCCCCAGTCAATCATCCACCTTCTTAACGATGCCATTATTGCGTTCATGATGTTAACATCTCCTAAGGAGGGTCGATTCCTCACTCACTGTTCTTCCCCCAGACGCTGTGCACATGTCTGTTCCATTTTCCTCCAGTTGTCTGAAGTTTGGCCGGCTCTGCCCCTCCTTCCGTTCTCTTGGTGTGTGCGCGTGGGAGGGTGTGGCAGGGGACCCACCTCGGGGTTCAGAAAAGGCGGTTTACGTTCTGAATACGGACTGCCGTCTGGGTCAGGCTGGTCTTTCCCAGCAGGAGACACTGAGGAAGGTCGACTAGCTTGCCCGGCACCCTACCGAGTGGGAGGGCCGAGGTTCCACCCGGGTTGCCACGTTTTCCTCGGCTCTGCGTGCTCGCGCTCTCCAGGTCCCTCCGTGGGTGAAACCCACGCCTCTCGAATAACACGCGTGGACGCGATCCTTCTAGCGCCACACGCGTGGCGCTCGGTTACAAAGGCCTTGGGGTGGCAACTCTCAAAGTGGCTCATGGACGGCGAGACTCGGGAGACCGTTTCCGTGAAGACATGCAAACACCGCAAAGTCCGAACGCCGTGTTAAGAAATGTGTGGGGGCGGGGGGGGGGTGCACTGAACAGTAAATTCTGTTCTCCCTAAAGCGAAAGCTCTTGGTGGCAGCTGGTTGGGACTGTCTGTGCAAAGGCCCCAGCTCCGGTGGTGACGGGAGACCCAGACAGGCCCCCGGGGCCCTTCGGCCGTGGGTGGCCCGGGGGAGTCACCCCCCCCCCCCGCACCCTCCGGTGTGGGCCTGGGCAGCGCTCTGGTCCTGGGGCGAACGGGGCCGCGTGCTTGAAACGTGTGCACTGCATGCCGATGAAAAGTCCTGCCCGGACCTGACCTGCGGTCAGACGCTCCGGGTGGGCGTTCATCGGTACCTCCCGCGATTCCGTGATGCAGGGGTCTCCGGCGGCCTCCCAGCGCCGGATCCCGTTCGCTTCCCTCTCTTCGTTGTTCTCCCTGCAGGTTCGGCCGCGCGCTCTGCCTCCTGGCTACCATCCTCATCAACGCCGTATCCGGGGTTCTCCTGGCCGTCGCCCCGACCTACGCGTGGGCCTTAATTTTCCGCCTGATCCAAGGGCTGGTCAGCAAGGCGGGCTGGCTAATAGGCTACATCCTGAGTAAGGACGCCTGTGGTTGCAGCCAGGGGAACCCACCCCGGGTCATTGCTGCCGAAACACAGTCAGGTGGGGGTAGGGGGCGGCGGGGCAGAAACGCGGACTCAGCCTCAAGACGGTGTCGGGAGGTATTTTTTCCTGGAACAAAAGAATCTCTAAAATCTCATGGGTCTGCTCATTCTGCATCCCTCCTACAAAGACAACAACGAAGCCAGAAATGAGGGTCAGCATTAAGCCATCCAGATTCTTATGTAACTCGAGAGGAATTTGTGTTTTCTGCACCTGGGGGATTTATGGAGAGAGAAAAATCTAGCCTGCGAGGCCTGTACAGTAAAAAAATTCAGTGACGAGCGATGCGCTAGATTTATAAGGGATTTTCATGCTTTGCATAAACCCACTCTAGCAAACCACAGTTATCCTCGGTGTATGATCAGGGAATCTGGCAAGTGCACGGTCAGCCCAGTGCCTCGGCCGTCCGTGGGACCAGGCACGACATTTACACCCCACTCAGCAGGAGCCAGACTCAGGCAGAAGCTCCGTGGAGTGCAGGAGAATGTTTGGGCTCGAACGGCATAGCATCTTTAAGGCAATCTGGAAAAAATCACCCCCATAATCAGATCTTGGGGATGAATCCCATCATTACTTCCCCTTCAGCTACAGTCAAACAGCATCCACAGCTCCGGCCTGTGTAGCTCGGTTGGTTGGGCGTCATCCCACCCTCCGAAAGGTCACCCTTTTGATTCTCAGACAGGGCTCACGCCTGGGATGCAGGTTCAGTTCCCAGTTGAGGTGCAGGTGAGGCAACCAGTCGATGTCTCTTGCTCATTGATGTTCTCTTCCCTCCCTTCCCCTCTCTCTAAAGTCAATTTTTAAAAAAATAGTATCCATATACAGGGAAGTGAGCCCATGGAAACTGACATCATGATGATAAGAAAGCTCTCAGGACCCATGAAAGCACTAGACTGCGTGTGCTTAAAATTGTTGCCGGTAGAGTCAGCTTGAGGAATTCCGTGAGATAAAGAAAGAATGCTGCGGGATACTATCAGGGCGCCTGGTGGCTGCCTGGCCAGCCAAGGAATTCACGGACGCAGTTCTTGCGTCAGTAATTCGGTGTCTGGGACACGTGACGTGTCCGAATACGTAGAATTCAATTGTATAAACACAGATTTCAGCATTCCACCTCGTCACGTTCATTTCATTTCCAGTCCCTCTGAATGTCCTGCAGGGACCCCTGTCCCCTTGACCTCTGTCCCCCTGCCCTGTCCCCCGCCCTTCAGACCCGTCCATGACCCCGCCGACTCTGAAAGGCAGACATTTCCATTTAGGGAGCACTAGCATAGTTTTGTTTCACTCTGTCGTGAAATACTTTTGGATAATTCGCAGTGAACGGTTGAAGTCTTGAACGCCATCACCGAACATTTCATACAAAAACTCTGCGGCTCGTGGCGTATCTGAAATTTCAATTCTAGTATGTTTGCAATATAAAAGTAACTGCCCCCTAAATTCAAGTAGCACAGACTCCCTTACCTGCCTGGAGGTGGTCACGGGGCGGGACGAAGCCCACTACTGCCCCTTGTGCCGTGGTGCACGGACATGCCGGCTCTCGGGAAACGAAGCCCCTGATCTACAGTGTTTTCCGATTTCTAAGTTATGGATACTGCCAGCGTGACGGATTTTGAGGTGCCAAGGAGTTTAACACCCGGCCTGCCGACTTCCAGAGAATGTAAAAATCGGTTCGGGCAAGCCAGGACTAGCCTACTCCGGGCAGCGTGAAACCCACGGGCAGACTTCCCAGCCGTTTGCCCACATTAGCAGAATCACCGGGAAAATGTTTAACTTGGGAAGGAGAACAGGTCACACGCAGGTGTTCATTTACATCAGAGCCACCTGCAGTCTGAACTCAGTGTCCGACCCATTTACTCAGGTCCCAAACCACCACTGCCTCATCACTGTCCGTCAAAACTCCGCGTGTCTCCGAAACGCAACGGCATCTGTCCTTGCAATTATTCTAGAAATCAAATGTTTTGCTTGTGGTAGCAGGCCTTCCCCCATCATCTAATGTGGGATTATACAATTTTTACATTAATTAACACAATAGCAATAATCCTAAAACAGGACTCAAAGGACATGTTTAAATTTCAGACAGCTACATAGAGAACGTTCTAGAATCTGGACATGTTGAGGTGGGCCTTCTGGCTCCCCCTAGCTGGGCGGCCAGCTCCCCGTTGTACGGACTCGCTGACCGCGTGGCTTCTCTCCGCAGTTACGGAATTCGTCGGGCAGAGCTACCGGAGAACGGTGGGCATCGTCTACCAAGCCGCCTTCACCGTGGGCCTCGTGGCGCTGGCTGGGCTGGCGTACGTGCTGCCCCACTGGAGGTGGCTGCAGCTGGCGGTCACCCTGCCCACCTTCTCCTTCCTGCTCTATTACTGGTAAGTCCGTGTGGAACGGAAAGGCAATACATTGCGGTGTCTCCTTTCTGCCTTCCCTGGTGCACACCATCCTCCTGATCCCTAAGGTTCCCGTCACTCTTCTGTTCCACCAGATGCCCGGTCCATATTTCCAGGATAAAAGTCAAAAGCTTTCAACACTTTGGAAAGCAAATGTCCCTTTACTTCGGCCTTAAGATTATTTATGCGGTGTTTACATTAGCTTCCGGTGGCTGCGGTGCCCTTTGAAGCAACTGATGAAATTTCCTTTCTTATTCCATCCCTTCTCAGAGGAAACTTGAGGCCAGAGGAGGCAGGGCGTGGCACTCGCGTGCCCACTGCCCACATCCATGCCTGGAGCAGACATCCCCAATCAATCGCAGCAGCCTTTATACCCCAGACCAGGCCAACTGGGGACCCCACACAGACCATAGCAATCCATCAGAGTTCTCAGGACAAGTGAACTATGTTTGTCACCCTGTCCCCGGGAAACACGGAAAAGAGCAGAAACTGTCGGAAACCCCACTGGGAGGTTACCTGAAATAAAACAAGAGGGATGCTGCATGGCCGTCCAAACCTCTCTCCCACGCAACAAACCCACAATGCACTTCATGCCTGGGCGTGTCCACCTGTTCTTCCCACGGCTGTCTGAGAATGAAATGCCTCAACTTCCCCAGGAAGCCTGTTTCTCCCCCAGAATCCAGTACAACTCTAAGAGTGACCCTTGGCTCCCTCCCTGTAGCCAGCCTACCTCTTTCATGTTTCCCAATCTGCCCCTCCCCCCCCCATTCCCATTAGGATCTTTTGATCCCTTGCCTGGATTGCTATGATCTTTGACCTTAGCATCACCACCCTCATGCTTCACGCTGCGTTTAAAATTCTAGTTCCACCTGGCTGCTCCACTGCCTAAGAGTCTTGCAGGAACTGTGCTCCCCTCAGAAGGAGGACCTAGCACTCGCCGTGACGGAGGCCCACCCGCCATCCCGGACCAGGCCACTTTGGAAGCACCACTTCTTGCAGTGTTTCACTCCACAGAATCAGATTTAACTTACCTACAACTGGGCGAACTGCATAATGGGACAACATTTTCAAAAGATCGCTCAAGACGCAGAGTAGAAAGCAGGTGTTTGGGGGGGAGAACGCAGGCGAGGGGGCCAGGTGAGAGACTGTTGCCCTCATCCCTGCAAGCGAGGACAAGCGCCTGAGTGGAGACAGAAGTCGTGGGTATGAAGAGGAATAGATACAAATACTGTGGGTAGGGTGGCGATGACAAAGCCCAATGACTGACTGCGGAGGCTTAGAGAGAGGAGGAGCCGAGGGTAGCCTGTGCCTCAGTGGGCTGGCGGGGGGGGGGTGTCGTTCAGAGAGGCAGGAGGAGCAGGTGTGGAAAGGAGGATGGTGAGGTGAGCTTTGAACATGCGTGCGATGGAGACTCCCACCTCCCCCCCTGCCGTCAGTTCCCACAGCGGAAACGCCTGGTGCCCACCTCAGCGGACGTGCCGCTCAGACCTGGGGCTCGGCTGTGCCCCGCTGTGCAGCTGGCTTCCCAGAGGCCCCCTGGGAACCCTCCGGAGGGGGCCCCGAGGCTGCCTGCACGAGGCTGAGCAGAAGCCTTTGGAGGAGGAAAGAACCACATATTCCCCCGTACAAGATTATGAAATTTCTTTCCCGGGGTGAGGCCTCTTGGGGTCCACCCCGTGAATAACTTAATAACTTTTCAGTGGGCACTGCAGTGCTGTTAGCTGCAGTCACCATGCTGGGCGCTGCGTCCCCGGGACTGGCTTATGTCGTAACTGGACGTTTGAAACTTCCGACCCCTTCAGCCCTTCCACCCACCCCACCCCTCAGCCCCTGCCTCTGGCAGCCACCAATCTGCCCCTTATCTATGTGCTTGTTTCCCCCCCTGGGGGAGCCCACCTTGGGGGGAAATCGTTCTGTGTTTGTCTTTCTGTGTCTGAGTCATTTCACTCAGTGTAACATCCCTCCGGTGCATCCGTGTTGTCAAAAATGGCAACACTTCATCCTCTTTTATGGCTGAATAATATGCACACACACACACACACACACACACACACACACACATTTCTGTTATCCATTCATTCACCGATGGACACAGGTTATTTCCATATCTTGGATGTTGTGAATAGTGCTACAATGACTATGAGAGTTTACATGTCTTTTTGAATTAGTGTTTTGGGGTTGTTGGGTTTTTTTTTTATAATTACCCACATGGAACGGCTGTGTCATATAGTAGGTGTACTTTTTATCTTTTGAGTAACTTCTACACCGTTCTCCACAGTGGCTGCACCAACTTGCAGTCTCGCCAACAGAGCCCGAGGGTCCCCCTTTCTCCACGTCCTCGCCAGCACTGGGTACTGCTGGTCTTTTTGGCGGCAGCCATTCTGACAGGTGTATCTCACTGTGGTCTTTTAAATATATCTTATCGATTGTGCTGTTACCGTTGTCCCATTCCCCCCCCTTCACACCCCTCTGCCCTGCACACCCTCTCCCACTCATTGTGGCTTTGATCCGAGTCTCCCTGATGAGCAGTGACGTCGGCCACCTGTCTTCTTCGGAAAACTATCATCTGTTCTGACTCTCTGCCCCTTTTTAAACTGGACTGTTTGGTTTTTTGCAGTTCAGTTGCATGAGTTCTTTATATGTTTCAGATACTGCCGTTTTCAGATGTATGGTTTGCCAGGATTTTCTCCCGTTAAGCAGGCTCCCCGTTCACTTCGTGGGTGGTTGCCTTGCTTTGCAGCCCCCGCACGACCCTCTTTCCTTTGTCAGGGCCTCGCTGTGCCAGGGCCCCCCCTCCAGAAATCTGGTTATGGTGGCGGGGGGGGGGGCAGGGGGCCAGGAAGATCCTCCCCCCATAACAGCACTGGTGACACTGACTCTGCGCCCTAGGTGCATCCCCGAGTCCCCGAGGTGGCTCATCTCCCGGAACAGAAGCGCCAAAGCCCAGAGCGTCCTGAAGCACATCGCAAGGAAGAACGGGAAACCCATACCTGCGTCTCTTCAGGTGAGCGAGCAGCCAGCCGCAAGGTCAAGTCCGGGGTGGGAGGCGGAGTTGGAGGCCGAGAACACACACAGCAGAGGGGCTGCCCCATGCCGGAAGCTGGGGGCGGGGCGCGGGGGCGCCCCGGTGCTTCCTCTCTCCCGAGAGAGTCGCGGTTTCCTGGTCATATATTTTAAATAGCTGGAAAGCATAAAACTAAGAGGAAACCAAAAAACCACTTAAAAGTCAAAGGAGGAGCGTCTGTCTCGTGCACTGAGGCCTGTGCCGTCCCGGCGCCTTGTTGCCCACGACCGGTTCCCCCAGGGGTCCGTCAGCATCCCCGGGGAAGGGAAGGGGGTTTCCCCCAGAGGGGAGGTCCCCAGATCAGGAAAACAGATTTTCAAACACAGCCCTTTCTCAGAATTTAAAAATCCTGGACAGAACGTGTCCCGAGATGTTTACACAGCGCCCTGCCTTCTTGAACGGAACGAGCGACCGAGCCCAAGTCTCAGCGTTCTGTGTCTCACCCCCCTCCCCCACAGACCTCGCCACCCCTTTATTGAACCCTGCTCCTCCGACAGGGGCTGGCGAAGGGGGAACGGGCGGATGAGGAGAGTATGTCGAAATAAGAGTAAATCGTTTCTGATGGAGGTGCTAAGATAGGTAACCGGGAAGAATTTGAGATTTTACGTGACACGGAGCACGAGGGTTTGGGGGCTCCGAGGCCTTGTCCCCTCCCCGCCTCTCCGGTTCCCAGGCGGCTGGCTGCCCACTCTTTTCCTCTAACGACCGGCCCAGCCCCTGCCCTTGGGTTTTAGGCCCGTGCAGAGACCGGTTGGGGACAAAGCACGCGTGGGCAGGCCGCCGTCTTGACAGAGGTCACCGGTCACGGAACAGCGATAAGTCTGTTCAGTGCTGGTCTCACTAGTGGTTTCTTCCCCGAGGCCCTTGGTCCCTCCCCTCCATCACAGGGGCCTCCATTTACGCCCTCCCCCGGGCTTTGCCTGGATGGCGTCCCTTTATATTCGCGCCTGGGCTCTCCGACCCCCCTGCCGTGGAGCGGGGTGAGAAGCCCGGGACCTGACCCCCAGGATGAAGGCGTTACGACGTACAGATGGAGGGAGCGTGTGCGGGTGCTGCTGTCTCTCCGGGAGGACCAGGGAGCCCATCGCTCCGTATAAAAGGCGGCCCTTTCTGTTCCCACCCTCAGAGCCTGAGCCCGGACGAGGAAGTGGGCGAGAAGCTGAATCCCAAGCTGAACCCTTCGTTTCTGGACTTGGTCCGAACCCCGCAGATCAGGAAACACACTCTGGTCCTGATGTACAACTGGTAAGGAGCGCTTCCTGCTGGGAAACCCTCCCAGTTCTTTTCTCGCCGATCGTCCACTTCGAGGACGGGAGGCGGGTGCCTCCGCACACAGCCTAGCTCCGCTCCAGCTTGGACGCTGGCGGGGGAGCAAGGTGGGCCCCCCGAGAGCGGGTTTCCCGACGTCCTTTCTCTCAGGCGGACGCTGACCCCAGCTTCCCGTTCCACATCCTCAGTCAGTACGTGCTCGACCTCAGCTGCGCCTCGGAATCACGTGGGAGATTTTTAAATACTAAGGCCAGACACTCCCCACCCCCTCCCCAGGGATACTGTTTAATTAATCAAGGGAAGAGCCAGGAATCTATATTTTAAAAATAGCCCACAATTGAGAGCGATTGGTATCGACCCACCGGGCATGGGTGTAGATCTCTCCTGATCGCACAGGGCAGGCGAGGAAAGCGCCTCCTCCTTTTCTTTTCTGCCTGGAGAAGTAACTTTCGAACAAGAATAAAGCGCAAGAACAAGCCAGCGGCTCCACAACCCCGGTGCTCCAGCGTGACCGTGTTGGCCGTCTGCAGGCGGCTCTGAGCGCCCCGGGCCGCGGCCCTGCCAGAGCCCCGCTCACGGCGGCACGCTCTCCTCTGAGGGTCTGCACAGGGGGTGACTCAGAGCAGCCGGGGCACAGCCACAGTCCCTGCAAACGCAAAGCTCATCCAGAATGAATCAAGCAACCTTCACGATATTGCATAAAAAATGCATCAGGGAGTAACTGTGACTCTTACAAATTATCCTCCTATTTTCCATTACAGACAATGACCACTTTCAGTCAACAAAATTAGACATGCTGTCAAAATGTTATTTGTGTCGTGGCAGAAGGTAAACCATTAAGAAGAGAGGCTGTGCTCATTTGCTCCTCTGGTTTTCCAGAATTTGAATTACGTCGTCAATCCTTTGACCTCAGTGGCATTAGAAGACCACAGAGAAATAATTAACAACCACTAATGACCGATATGGTTTTATGAAATAAATCACTGCACAAAAACATTGCTTTCTGCCTTTCAAACTTGGCCAGGGAACACTATGCTAATTTCTTCCTCTCCCCTGGTCCTGGGGCCGCAGCCAGCCGCCGCAGCGGGTCAGACAGTGTGAAAGCAACAGATGGAGGGAATCGTAACGACCTGCGGTCAACTCCTATTTTCCCGGCAGCCACCCCCTCTCGGTGACCTGCTCTCGCGTGCCTTGACCAGAGCTCTGCTCTCTGCTCAGGTTCACCAGCTCGGCCCTCTACCAGGGCCTCATCATGCACCTGAGCCTCGGAGGAAGCAACATCCACCTGGACTTCTTCTACTCCGCCCTGGTGGAGTTCCCAGCCGCCCTCATCATCATCCTTACCATCGACCGCGTGGGCCGCCGCCTTCCGTGGGCTGCATCAAACATGGTGGCGGGGGCAGCCTGTCTGGCCTCGGTTTTCATCCCTGAAGGTGAGTGTCAGGCCAAGCTAGGGTCTTGTGTCCCAAGATCCAAAAACTAGGGGTGTCACTGTCCTTTGATAGGAGGACCATGTAATTTATCATCCAGACCCATCCGGAAAGGAAGAGTGCAGTATCTAGGACCTTCCCAACAAACACATAGCAATCGCGCCCAGCGGTGCTCTGATGGGATATAATTGCACCCCACTGTTCCCTGCTGGATGAGGAGGGCCCACCACGCTGCAAGCTGCCCAGCCAGCCCAGAGCAGGGAGCGTGGGCTGGGGGCGGAGCGGGCCCCGTGAAGGCCGGACCCAGCACCTCCCAGATGTAGTTTAAGCAGCTCCCAGACCTCCCGAAGCCATCGTGCAGAACGAATGGGAAAACCTAAGTGAATGTCGTTGGTGAACAATTATTCAGTTCCTTATTTTCCTTTTAAGATACTTTCTCAATGAAGGGAAGCAAAACCCCGTATACCAGAGTCCTATCAGCAACATAGAGCATGGCTTGAACCTTTCAGCTACCAGCACCCACACAGAGCGTTCCCATGTTTTGCTATGTCTTCTGTGTGACCTCTCTAGACTCTAGTCGGCCCGGCTTTGGAAACTGGTATAACTCTGTGGTCCTCAGTGACCAAGGTCTTGAGTTCAAAGGTTGTTACGACTGTGTCTAAAGTTAAAGTGAACAGACATGGAGAATTTGCTGACACTGTCTTGAACTTGGAGGAGACCCCGTGTTGCTCTCCCGTCCGGCTCTGGAATGTGGACTCCCCCCCCCCGGCTAATCCCCGCCCCCACCCCCACCCCACCCCACCCCAGAGGAAGCACTGGTGGAAGAGCAGGTGTGTGTGTGTGACACGAACAGGTGGTGTGTTTCCCCTCAGACGTACACTGGCTAAGAGTTGCAGTCGCGTGCTTGGGCCGGATGGGGATCACGATGGCCTTCGAGATGGTTTGCCTGGTCAGTGCAGAACTGTACCCCACGTTCATCAGGTGGGCACGTGTCCCCCAGCGTGAAGGGCGGGGCTTGGGGCATTTGCTTCTTGGCCAGAACACCGCAGGTGCCAGCAGAGGACACTTTACTTTCCAAAGCACAGGGTGAGGTGGGGGAGGGGAGCATTTCAAGGCAGCTGCTGGGTCGTGTCTCACACTCACAGACTGGGGTCAAGTGCAGAAATGCGGGGTGAGAGCAGAAGACACTGAAGTGCAAGAGAGAATTACCCAGCAGCCTCCAGAGACAGGGGTCGGGAACAGCATGAACGGGACCATAGAAATGGGGAAGCAGGTGACTCAGGTGGAAAGTGAAAGTCACCCCTCAGTTAAAAATTCTCAAGAAAATTAAAACAAATATAACAGAATACAAATGAATTATGTAGCATATGTCATTTAACTGTAGTGAAAATAACATGAATACTTTTTTAAAGATTTTCTTTGTTTGGCCCTGGCTGGCATAGCTCAGTGGATTGAGTGCCAGCCTGCAAACCAAAGTGTCACAGGTTCGATTCCCAGTCAGGGCACATGCCTGGGCTGCAAGCCATGACCCCCAGCAACTGCACATTGATGTTTCTCTCTCTCTCTCTCTTTCTCTCTTTCTCCCTCCCTTCCCTCCCTAAAAATAAATAAATAAAATCTTTAAAATTTTTAAAAAAAATATTCTATTTATTTATTCTTAGAGAAGGGGGAGGGATAAAGAGAGAGAAACATCGATCAGTTCCCTCTTGCATGCACCCCAACTAGAGACTGAACCCTCAACCCAGGCACGTGCCCTGATGGGGAATCAAACGGGTGACCTTTCTCTCTGTGGGACGACGTCCAACCCACTGAGCCACGGCGGTCAGGGCAACACGAACACTTCTTTGGTTCACAGACGTTTTAATGATTTGGGGGGTTATCCCCTGGAGGGTGGGTGGGAAATAGCCACCGTGCCTTGATAAGTTCAAGGGTCAGACCTGTGCCGTGCATTCCAGGAACCTCGGGGTCCATGCCTGCTCCTCGGTGTGTGACCTTGGTGGCATCGTCACGCCGTTCCTGGTGTACCGGCTCACCGACATCTGGCACGAGCTTCCCCTGGTGGTTTTTGGTAAGAAATCCCCAGACACGTTTTTGAGTGAAAACCTGTCTCTCTAGGGACCTCCCTTCTCCTACCTCCAAACAGGCGCCCGTTGTAACGACTCGGCGTGACTGGCAATCAGTGGTGCTGTCGATGTTACTGACACTAGTGTGAGTAACGCCGTCGGCAGCGACTGATGCTGAAGGGTGGGGGCCCCTGGGACTCCTGCCCGAAGGGGTCCAAGGTCAAGGAAGAGGGGGATAGGACAGAGTTTCCTGAAGGAGACCCCTCGCTGCCTCCCACGCCTCCTGGGGTCTCGTGGCGAAAGAGCTCCCTCCTCCCGCCGCCTCTGCAGCCAGACGCAGAACCCTGCAAACCCGTCCCTGCCCCGCTTTCAGGAGGGGCTGTCAGACTCTGCAGAGGACGTGTCAGGCCCCAGCAGACAGAGACCTCAGCAGACAGAGACCCCAGAAGACAGGGACCCCGAGTTAGCACTGGGAGTGCGGGGGTTGACGCCGGGGCTGCCTCCTGGGGGGCGGCCACAGGCGATAGACTTAAGGAGGGCGCCCTTCCCTCCCGACGCTGCGGGAATGTTCCAGCTGAGCAGCAGGCCGGGTAGAAAGTGGCAGGCACAAGTCTGACTATCTACAGTTAACCGGCACAGGCCTTTGTTGAACCCCGAAGGCCACAGATCGTGAAAGGGGGACCTGGGCCCTTCCGTTCACTCCGCACCCACGGCCTTGCCCAAAGCCGAGGCTGTGGGGCGGCTCAGCTCCTTCTGCGTCCACATGGACACGGTGACAGATTCGCACACAGAACCCTCCCCTCCTCACGCTGGCCGGGACGCCTCAACGCACGGCCTTCAGTCCCCTCTAAAACCCGTTCTGAGCTGGTTTTAGTTTGACAAAAATGAAACACTTTTTACCCTGGGCAAACAATACTCACTCCCCTTGGGGGGAGGAAGGAGGAGACCCCCTCAGGTGCACACCAGGGGACCGTCAATTTCCTCCTGGCTCTGGTTGTCACACCAAGTATCTCTGCCCATTCCTCCTCCTCTTGGGGGGTTGAAAGGGGAGATTTCCCCTGGGACCGGCCTGCCAGGAATAGTTCCCAACCTCGGCTAGAACGCACCCCAGAATCGGGCCCAAGGAGCTCCTCCACTTTCCAACTCACCCACCCCACGGCCCACGTTGGCAGGACGCAGGTCTGCGCTGAGATGCCCGTGGCCTGGTCACAGGATGGCTGGCACTGCCTGCGGGGCACACAGGCCCCGGACTCTGTCCTCCCCCAGCACTGGCTGAGGGGCCGGTCCCCAGACCCCCCTCCATCCTGGGGAAGGGCCATCACAGCGCTGGGCTGCTGCCCTGCTGGGAGGACGGCAGCCAGGCCTGGCTCTCAGCCACTCCCGTCGGTGGGCAGGGAGCCCCCCACTGGGCCGGGCGGGGGCGGGGGGTGTTTCTGGGCAGAGCACAGGCGCTCCGGGTCCCTCTCGGCTCTGTGACAGGGCAGCGCCACGTCTGGGTCCAGGGACACCGCGGCTGACCCTCCCTCAGAAACAGTAAAGCATCGCAGTTGCCGTTCCACATTTCTTTATTTCTACAGAGAGCGGTGGGAGGGAGAAAGAGAGGGGGAGGAACATGATGCGCGAGAGGCAGCCGATGTCGCCCCCTACTGGGGGCCTGGCCGGCAACCCGGACGTGTGCCCTCCCTGGGGAGGGAGCCAGTGACCCTCCGGTCCGCAGGCCGGCACTCGGGCCACCGAGCCACACCGGCCAGGGCTGCCTTTCAACACGAACGTAAACTCTCTGACAGCTCCCCATGTTATTTTTGCTGGGGATCCTCCCTCGCCAACTTTTCATCTGAGTAGCTGCCAGGAATCAAAACCAACGGTCTTACACTTGAACTCCTGTTCCTTCCTTCCTTCCCCGCACACCGGTGTGCTAACTGTGGTCTCGAAGGGAGCAGGAGTAGAAATCTAGCAGTCAGGCCCTGGCCGAGCCGACACCCAGAGGAACCCTCGTCGGGAGGGCGCCGCGGGAGGGGTGAGGCGTGCCCCGGTGGGTCGGCTTGTCTCTGCCCATATGTGGCGCTCAGCGGGCGACGGTGGGACTCCCCCACTGTGCTGCCCTCGTAGGTCACTCGCGTCAGAGCGCCAGAGCCACCTGGGCCGGCTTGCTCTTTGTGTGAGTTCCGACCAAGGGCACCCCCTGAGGTGTGGGGGGCACTGTTCTGAGCGGGAAATAGACAGGAACTCATTGCAGCCTCAGAGCAAGCCCGTGAGGTGTGTATCACCCCACTTAACATGGGGGGTCCGGGGCCTCAGGGGGCTCGCAGGGGAGCCCGGCTGGAGCCAGAACCCCTGAGCTCGGGGCCCCCAGCCCAGCCGTTATTTTTGAGGGTGCAAAAGTGGAGTCCAGCGTGCGTGTTTTCTGAAACCCCAAAACTAGTAAAGCACCTACATCCCACGCCCTGCATTCTGTTACAGAAAAACACATACAAATGTACCTTAACGTCCCTAAACTTTAATGGGAATTCAGAGAGACAAAAGCACTACGATGTTTGCTAGTACCTCCCCCCCACACACCATATAGAAAAACTAGAGCTGGGGACCAGGAAAAGGAGAGCAACTGGAATTTATTAAACACCTGAATTCGAAATCAAAGTCCTGGCTATACGTTTTTGTGCTGTTATATATTAATGCTTTTCAAATACATTCATTACTTTTATTTGCCAGTAACACTCCAAGTTTCTAACTCAGTTTTCCTTACCAAGTGCTTTATATTGGCAAGGTTATGTTATGTCTTTTCTTAGAGTTGTTTTTTTTTTTCACAGTTATTTTCGAACTCCAACGTGTCTTCAAATTATGGCAAGGTTCTCTAGCCTAGAATAAACTTGACTCGAAATGTGAAGTATTTCATTTCCCTATAAGGCGTTGTAGCCCAGCAGGGCTTGGGATCGGCAAGATATTTATGGTGGAAAACAGGGCTGTCCAATGTCAAAGAAAGTCTTAAGTGTAGGAAATTGCCCCAAAATCGTTTCAGAAATCAGGGGTGCTCTCATCGCAGAGCCGGAATGCCCCCCCCCACCCCCGGCTCCGTGTGATTTCCCTCTGCTTGGCTTCCAGCCTCGGTCGGCCTGGTCGCCGGGGGCCTGGTGCTGCTGCTGCCGGAGACCAAGGGGAAGACCCTGCCCGAGACGATCGCCGAGGTGGAGCACATGCAGAGGTACAGAGCCGGGGCCCCCGTGGGGGCTCGCTCTTTCAGACAGGCCTCCGGCCGGCTCCGCAGCCGGTTGGAAGGAAAGATGAGGGAGAATCTGCGGGTCATCACAGATCAGTTCAAATGATATCAGACTTGAAACTACAAAAGAAGGAAGGAAGGAAGGGAGGAAGGGAGGAAGGAAGGAAGGAAGGAAGGAGAGAGAAGGAGAGAGAGAGAAAGAAAAGAAAGAAAGAAAGAAAGAAAGAGAGAGGGGAAAGAAAGGAAAGAAAGAGAAGGAAGGAAGGAGAGAGGAGAGAAAGAAAGAAAGAAAGAAAGAAAGAAAGAGAAGGAAGAAAGGAAGAAAGAGGGAGGGGGGAAAGAAAGAAAGAAAGAGAAGGAAGGAAGGAAGGAGAGAGAAGGAGAGAAAGAGAGAAAGGAAAGAAAGAAAGGAAGGAAAGAAAGAAAGAAAGAAAGAGAAGAAAGAAAGAAAGAAAGAAAGAGAAAGAAAGAGAGAGAAGGAGAGAAAGAGAGAAAGGAAAGAAAGGAAGGAAGGAAGGAAAGAAAGAAAGAGAGAGAGAAAGAAAAGAAAGAAAGAAAGAAAGAAAGAAAGAAAGAGAAGTAAGGAAGGAAGGAGAGAGGAGAGAAAGAGAGAAAGGAAAGAAAGAGAGAAAGGAAAGAAAGAGAGGGGGAGAGAAAGAAAGAAAGAAAGGAAGGAAGGAAGGAAGGAAGGAAGGAAAGGAAAGAAAGAAGGAGAAAGGAAGAAAGGAGAGAGAAGGAGAGAAAAGAAAGAAAAGAAAGAAAGAAAGAAAGAAAGAAAGAAAGAAAGAAAGGGGAGAGAAAGAAAAGAAAAGAAAGAAAAGGAAGGAAGGAAGGAAGGAAAAGAAAAAATACTATAGGAGATTACCTTTCTACTTTTATAGTAGGGCAGGTCTTTGAAATCTGGTCCAAAATCCAAGACCCATTAAAAAAAAGATTCATAAATTATGGGAGGTAGGGGAGGGGCGTGTGTAGGGCAGGGGAAAAGTAATGGGAGAAAAATGGGGACAACTGTAATTGAACAACAATTTTAAAAAATCCTTAAGTTTTTGCCTTCATAAAAATTAAAAATTCTGCATTGAAAAACTACTATAAGCTTATATATAATACAGCAAACTTAGAGAAAATATTTACTCCTCTACAAAGGGCCAATTTCCCCAATATGTAAAGAGCTCTAAGAAATTCCTAAAAGCAACCACCCAAAAGAAAAAATGAGCAAAGGATTTGAACAGCTAAGTCGGTGAAAAAAAAAGCAGCTCTTAAATACAGGGCCCGGCACCAATAACACCCCTTTTTTATTACAAACTCTTTTATTACAAAATCATAAGCATGTCATTGTGTAACATAGCAATATCATACTCAAGCGCACCATAGGACATTTTAGGCGAAATATGTGCATTAAAACTATAAATCATCACACCCATGTTGTTGCCCCACCCACCACACTCAAGCAGGCGTTACTTCTGCCGGACCCTGTGTATAATACAATACGCTCAAACTCCCTGGTAATAAGAAAGAGAGGATGCACCGGGCCCCGGTACCCACTGGGATGGCTGGGGCTCAGGCTGCGTGGGAGCGCCCTGTGCTGGGAAAGAACGTGCAGAAAGCATCCTCCTCAGTTGCCAGTAGAACACGAACTGCAAACCTCTACCACGGCCAGTAGGACTAGCCATTCCACACGTCTGGGCATGTACATGTATGTGCAAAGCCGCCTGTGCGCAGGCCTGTTCTGGAAGGCAAGTTTTTATGTGAGAAAAGACCGGAAACAATTTCAATGCCCTTTCAGGGGGAGACCCCTTATACATATAAATTATGTCATTTAATACAATATCATACAGCCATTCAAAAGAAGGAAGCAGCTTTATACACACAGATAAGGGGAGTTCTCCAAGACATATCGTTAATGGAAAAAAGCAAAAAATAGGAAGTGTACAGTCTGACGTGTGGGGAGACGTGGAGAAATACGCACGCACATGTACTTGGACTTGGGGACGGCTACACAGGGACCCTACCCCTGGCTCTCGTGGGCCGGGGTGGCTCTGGGCTACAGGTGGGAGGAAGACTTTCCAATGCATACTTTTTGGTACTTTCTGAATTCTGAACCGTACAAACCTGCTGAAAAAGTAACCTTTATAAGAAAATCTACGAGAAACGTATCTGACACACTCCCCACAAGTTTGTGCGTATGCTTAGATATTTGTGTTTATTCGCCCACACTCCACGCCTGGCCCACTGGTGCCGGGAACTGAGCTGAAATGTATCCAAATTGCATCCTACAAGATGCCCACCTTGGACCCACTCGGTGTTTGGGCAAACGCTGCCGCAGCGGAATCGCAGCGCTCTGAGGCTTTTCCTGGAACTCGAAGGTTGGCGCGGGAAGGGGCCTTCGGATTCATGCGGCGGTCACGCTGGGGGCCCGCAGGGCACTGGGGTCCCGAGGGCCTTGCTTGGCCAACACAGCAGTGTTTAAAGTAGGAAATTCCACGTTGGATTTCCAGGATCTGGGAACGTAAACAAACCACCAGAGCACTGGCCCACACTGAGTAGGCGTTTCCTCTTGCTGACCATGGGCAGGAGCTGGGGGCCGCTCAGCTCTGTGGAGGGCGCGCCCCGGGCACAGGCCACAGTCCCACTGGGCCCTGATGCTCCGTGCCCAGGACGTCTGTCCTCTCTGCCTGGGGCGTGAAGACAGCCAGGTCTCACAGCCTTGATCCCGACAGCCTTTCCCCGGAGCCCACGCTCCACATTATGTCCCCTGTACACAAGCACCTCCCCTAGAGGGCAGACGGCGCCCCGTGTAAGGCCCTGTCCTTGGGCCAAGCCCGGAGCCCAGCGCTGTGGGGCAGACGCCGAGCTCCTCCCAGGCGTCCAGCACCGAGGTCCCTCCGGGCCCTTCCGGGCAGCCCTGGTGTCAGGAAGGAGGGGCACGGGCCCTTCGGGCCGCTCCTCACATGTCCCTTCCACGTGGCCTGGCCTCCCCCGAGCCTCGGTTTCTTCATCCGTCAACGGGGACAGCAGCCCCGGCTCCTGCGGTGTCTGTAACGACTGGGTGAGATCACGCCCGTACGGGGCCCGGCCTTTCGTCCGTGTCTGGGAGCCGCTGTCATTGTTCTAGAAGTCGTCATAGCTGCTCCATAATTTCTGCTCCAGGTACAGAAAATATGTACCTGGATGTTGCATTGGAAATCAAATCTCAAAATAGGTTCTGCACTTTGTGAGTGAGGGAAGTGCAGCTCAGCGGTGCCCACGTTCGCCTGTGCCGGCTGGAGTCCCCGCTCCCACGGGCCGGTGCAAGGTGGCCACGAGGCAGTTGAGAGAGAACTCGGTCATTTTACATCCGTTCGTGTGATCGACACACACTCCTCTGGAGATTTCCACTGGTCTGTTTCTGCATGACCCCGCATACTTTTCACAGACAGAAGGCAGGTCCGTGGAAAGCTTGGGGAGCTGCAGAAAGAGATGAGGGCCGCAGCAGGCTGGGTGGGGGCTGCCCACAGGGACAGATGAGGGCCGCCTGCCTGAGGCAGCGATGGCCGGGACCAGGGGCTGACCGCACGTGGCACCAGGGTTCAGGCGTGCAGGGCGCCTCTGTTCAGCAGAGCTGACCCCAGGCATCACACACAAAGGGAGAGGCGGCGAGAACTGGATGGAACGGGGCCCCTTCCCCACCACCCATCATTCGGTTCCTAAGGGCATGAAGATAGACTTTTGACTTATTAACATTTATTCCATCTCTTGAGCCCGTTTCCTTTTCTGTAAAATTGGGAATGATACCTAATATTTACTAAGTGGTTTCAACTAGTGCGTTCCAAGCCCTTCCCCTTGGATCCTTGCAGCAGCTCCGGGCAGCAGGCATCGTTATTAGCTCCATCTGACACTGAGAAAAACCAAGGCAAGTGAGAGTACAGGACTCCCCCGGAGTCAGGCGGCCAGTAAGTGAGAAAGTGAGGTTCTAGCCCTGGCAGCCAGGGTCTGGGGCCCAGGCACACCTCTCCCCTCCGAGGGCAAGTGGGACGGTGGAAGTGGGGTGCCCAGTGAGGGGCTGCACTTAGTCACCCATCAATCAACGCACCGCTGTTGTTGCTGTGGATATTGTTTTTGGCTACTGGTGTTGCCGCTGTTGTGGTTCCTGCTGTTGTGCCCATTGTTGTTGCTGCTGTCACTTCCGTTGTTTCTGCTGCTGTTACTGCTGCTGTTGTTCCTGCCCTCGTTATTTCTGCTGTTGTTATTGTCACTGTTGTTGCTGCTGTTGCTGTTGTTGTGGCTATTGTTGCTGCCGTTGTTTCTGTTACTGTTGTTGCTGCTGTCACAGCTGTTGTCATTGCTATTGTTGTTCCTGTTGCTGTTTTTGCTGCTTTTGTTCCTGCTGTTGTTGCTGTTGCTGCTGCTGTCACTTCTGTTGTTTCTGCTGCAGTTATTGTTGCTTTTCCTCCTCTTGTCATTTCCACTGTTGTTGTTGCTACTGTTGCTGCCATTGGTTCTGTTGCTATTGTTGCTGCTATCACTGCTGTTGTTCCTGCTGTTTTTGTTGCCGTTGCTATCGTTCCTATTGTTGTTGTTGTTATTGCTGCTATTGTTCTCACTGTTGTTGCTGCTGTCAGTTCTGTTGATTCTGTTGCTGTTACTGCTGTTGTTGCTTCTGCTTCCATTATTTCTATTATTGTCACTGTTGTTGCTGCTGCTGCTCCTGTTGTTGCTATTGTTGCTGCCATTGTCTCTGTTGCTGTTGTAGCTGCTGTCACTGCTATGGTTGGTGCTGCTGTTGCTGCTGCTGTTGCTGCTGCTGTTACTATTGTTGTTCCTGCTGTTGTTGTTTGTTATTGTTATGGTCACTGTTCTTGTCTCCACTGTTGCTGCAGCTGTTGCTGCTGCTATCATTTCTACTGTTTCTGCTGCCATTACTGTTGTTGTTTCCACTGTTGTTGGTTCCACTGTTGTTGCTGCTATCATTTCTATTGTTTCTGCTGCCATTACTGTCGTTGTTCCTGCTGTTATTGTTATTGTTATTGTCACTGTTGTTGTTTCCACTGTTGCTGTTGTTGCCGCTGCTGTTGTTGCTGCTGCCATTTTTATTGTTTCTGCTGCCGTTACTGTCGTTGTTCCTACTGTCATTGTTTCTGTTATTGTTATTGTCACTGTTGTTGTTTCCACTGTTGCTGTTGCTGCTGCTGTTGTTGCAGCTGTTGTTGCTGCTGTCATTTCTACTGTTTCTGCTGCCATTACTGTTGTTGGTTCCACTGTTGTTGGTTCCACTGTTGTTGCTGCTGTCATTCCTATTGTTTCTGCTGCCATTACTGTCGTTGTTCCTACTGTCATTGTTTCTGTTATTGTTATTGTCACTGTTGTTGTTTCCACTGTTGCTGTTGTTGCTGCTGCCATTTTTATTGTTTCTGCTGCTGTTACTGTCATTCCTGCTGTTATTGTTATTGTCACTGTTGTTGTTTCCACTGTTACTGTTGCTGCTGCTGTTGTTGCTGCTGCCATTTTTATTGTTTCTGCTGCTGTTACTGTCGTTGTTCCTGCTGTCATTGTTTCTGCTATTGTTATTGTCACTGTTGTTGTTTCCACTGTTGCTGTTGTTGCTGCTGCTGTTGTTGCTGCTGCCATTTTTATTGTTTCTGCTGCTGTTACTGTCGTTGTTCCTGCTGTCATTGTTTCTGTTATTGTAATTGTCACTGTTGTTGTTTCCACTGTTGTTGCTGCTGCTGTTGTTGCTGCTGTCATTTCGATTGTTTCTGCTGCTGTTACTGTCATTCCTGCTGTTATTGTTATTGTCACTGTTGTTGTTTCCACTGTTGCTGTTGCTGCTGCTGTTGTTGCTGCTGCCATTTTTATTGTTTCTGCTGCTGTTACTGTCGTTGTTCCTGCTGTCATTGTTTCTGTTATTGTTATTGTCACTGTTGCTGCTGTTGCTGCTGCTGTTGTTGCTGCTGCCATTTTTATTGTTTCTGCTGCTGTTACTATCGTTGTTCCTGCTGTCATTGTTTCTGTTATTGTAATTGTCACTGTTGTTGTTTCCACTGTTGTTGCTGCTGCCATTTCTATTGTTTCTGCTGCTGTTACTGTCATTCCTGCTGTTATTGTTATTGTCACTGTTGTTGTTTCCACTGTTGCTGTTGCTGCTGCTGTTGTTGCTGCTGCCATTTTTATTGTTTCTGCTGCCGTTACTGTCGTTGTTCCTACTGTCATTGTTTCTGTTATTGTTATTGTCACTGTTGTTGTTTCCACTGTTGCTGTTGTTGCTGCCGCCATTTTTATTGTTTCTGCTGCCGTTACTTTCATTTTTCCTGCTATCATTGTTTCTGTTACTGTTATTGTCACTGTTGTTGTTTCCACTGTTGTTGCTGCTGTCATTTCGATTGTTTCTGCTGCTGTTACTGTCATTCCTGCTGTTATTGTTATTGTCGCTGTTGTTGTTTCCACTGTTGCTGTTGTTGCCGCTGCTGTTGTTGCTGCTGCCATTTTTATTGTTTCTGCTGCCGTTACTGTCGTTGTTCCTACTGTCATTGTTTCTGTTATTGTTATTGTCACTGTTGTTGTTTCCACTGTTGCTGTTGTTGCTGCTGTTGTTGCTGCTGCCATTTTTATTGTTTCTGCTGCCATTACTGTTGTTGTCCCTGCTGTCATTGTTTCTGTTATTGTTATTGTCACTGTTGTTGTTTCCACTGTTGTTTCCACTGTTGCTGTTGCTGCTGCTGCCATTTTTATTGTTTCTGCTGCCGTTACTGTCGTTGTTCCTACTGTCATTGTTTCTGTTATTGTTATTGTCACTGTTGTTGTTTCCACTGTTGTTTCTGCTGTTGCTGCTGCTGCCATTTTTATTGTTTCTGCTGCCGTTACTGTCGTTGTTCCTACTGTCATTGTTTCTGTTATTGTTATTGTCACTGTTGTTGTTTCCACTGTTGCTGTTGTTGCTGCTGTTGTTGCTGCTGCCATTTTTATTGTTTCTGCTGCCGTTACTGTCGTTGTTCCCTACTGTCATTGTTTCTGTTATTGTTATTGTCACTGTTGTTGTTTCCACTGTTGTTTCCCCCTGTTGCTGTTGCTGCTGCCATTTTTATTGTTTCTGCTGCCGTTACTGTCGTTGTTCCTACTGTCATTGTTTCTGTTATTGTTATTGTCACTGTTGTTGTTTCCACTGCTGTTGTTGCTGCTGCCATTTTTGATTGTTTCTGCTGCTGTTACTGTCATTCCTGCTGTTATTGTTATTGTCGCTGTTGTTATTTCCACTGTTGCTGCTGTTGCTGCTGCTGTTGTTGCTGCTGCCATTTTTATTGTTTCTGCTGCTGTTCCTGTCGTTGTTCCTGCTGTCATTGTTTCTGCTATTGTTATTGTCACTGTTGTTGTTTCCACTGTTGTTGCTGCTGTCATTTCGATTGTTTCTGCTGCTGTTACTGTCATTCCTGCTGTTATTGTTATTGTCACTGTTGTTGTTTCCACTGTTGCTGTTGTTGCCGCTGCTGTTGTTGCTGCTGCCATTTTTATTGTTTCTGCTGCCGTTACTGTTGTTGTCCCTGCTGTTATTATTTCTGTTATTGTTATTGTCACTGTTGTTGTTTCCACTGTTGTTTCCACTGTTGCTGTTGCTGCTGCTGCCATTTTTATTGTTGCTGCTGCCATTTTTATTGTTTCTGCTGCCGTTACTGTCGTTCCTGCTGTTATTGTTATTGTCACTGTTGTTGTTTCCACTGGTGCTGTTGCTGCTGCTGTTGTTGCTGCTGCCATTTTTATTGTTTCTGCTGCCGTTACTGTCGTTGTTCCTACTGTCATTGTTTCTGTTATTGTTATTGTCACTGTTGTTGTTTCCACTGTTGTTTCCACTGTTGCTGTTGCTGCTGCTGCCATTTTTATTGTTTCTGCTGCCGTTACTGTCGTTGTTCCTACTGTCATTGTTTCTGTTATTGTTATTGTCACTGTTGTTGTTTCCACTGTTGCTGTTGTTGCTGCTGTTGTTGCTGCTGCCATTTTTATTGTTTCCGCAGCCATTACTGTTGTTGTCCCTGCTGTTATTATTTCTGTTATTGTTATTGTCACTGTTGTTGTTTCCACTGTTGTTTCCACTGTTGCTGTTGCTGCTGCTGCCATTTTTATTGTTTCTGCTGCCGTTACTGTCGTTGTTCCTACTGTCATTGTTTCTGTTATTGTTATTGTCACTGTTGTTGTTTCCACTGTTGCTGTTGTTGCTGCTGCCATTTTTATTGTTTCTGCTGCCGTTACTGTCGTTCCTGCTGTTATTGTTATTGTCACTGTTGTTGTTTCCACTGTTGCTGCTGTTGCTGCTGTTGTAGCTGCTGCCATTTCTATTGTTTCTGCTGCTGTTACTGTCGTTGTTTCTGCTGTCATTGTTTCTGTTATTGTTATTGTCACTGTTGTTTCCACTGTTGCTGTTGTTGCTGCTGCTGTTGTTGCTGCTGCCATTTTTATTGTTTCTGCTGCCGTTACTGTCATTCCTGCTGTTATTGTTATTGTCACTGCTGTTGTTTCCACTGTTGTTGGTTCTGCTGTCATTTCTATTGTTTCTGCTGCCACTACTGTCATTGTTCCTGCTGTTGTTGTTTCTGTTACTGTTATTGTCACTGTTGTTGCTACTGTTACTGTTGCTATTGTTGCTGCCACTGTTTCCATTACTGTTGCAGCTGTTGCTGCTGTTGTTGCTGCTGCTATTATTATTCCTGTTATTTTTGCTTCTTTTTTTCCTGCTGTTGTTGCTGCAGCTGATATGGTTGCTGTTGTTGTTCCCACTCTTGTTGTTGTTGCTGCCATTTTTGTTGCTGCTGCTATTGTTACTCTTGTTGTTGCTGTTGTTGCTGCTGCTGCTGCTGCTGTTGTTCCTATGGTTGCTGTTGTTGCTATTGCTGTTATTGGCATAAATGCTCTGGGAGCTCAACGGACTTGTCTGAGCCCTTGCATCTGGAGTCTGAGAGAACTCCAGCACCTCTGGGTAATTCAGGTGAGCTTTTGCTACTCTCCCCATATCAAGTGGGTCCAGAAACTGAGGCAGGACTAAGTGCCTCCAGGTGGGGGGAATTCTGCAAGGATCTTGGAGGCACAGTAGCAGCCCCACACCAAATCTCAAGATTACTATCAATAGTAACATGTCAAAAGAGTATGTCCTGGAGCAACAAAATGAAGAAAGCAGCATTCCTGTGAGTATTAGCAACATCCCGGTATTCACAAAGACAAGACGGCTGAGAAACTTGCAACTTAAACAAATATTTGAATTGATTTTTCACTTATCCAACTGCTGAAAAGTAAATGAACTTTGGTAAAAAAAAATAATTTTCAAATTCTATTTAGAGAACTGATGATAACAGTGTCTAGACTTTGAAATCTTCATTTTTAACTGACACAAGATTGAATTTAGACATTTCCCACATTTTTTATTACAGAGTAGGGTAGAAGACCTTAAGTAATGAATTTAGGCCACAGAATTCTAGAAACTACTCTATCCACATTAGTTATTCACCAAGCTCTTAGTTAGAATCACCACTCAGAATTCATTGCAATACTCACCCTAGACAAAGCTTACAAGCCTTATACCCATATCTTGTATTTATTTATGATCCACTGTATCTTGGATTTTGGTCTCCTTGTCGTTTTTCTCTCCCCTCTTCAACTTTTTTTTTAATTGCAGACCAAGAAAAAACAAAGAAAAGATGATTTACCTCCAAGTTGGGAAGCAAGACATTCCACTACACTAGGAGAGACCTGCGGTGGTTTTGCTTTGACAACACAAGGCTGGAATCAGATCATCTTCCTCTCGTCACAAAGCCTGTACAACTCGACCCCACTTCCCTTCGAGCCCTGTTAACGTAGATCTGTAACCGAATGGAGTTTGCTGTGCTGCCCTCTAAACTCTGCCTGTGGGACCAAATCCTGCAACCCCACCAGTTCACTCTCCCCTCAGCTTTCCTTGGACAAGGGCCATTGGTTTGCTGGGATGTTTATTCTGTCTCTGTACTTCCTTAGTTTGTTCCCTTCTTCACAGTGATATCAAACCAAAACACATAGGGGAATTGTAGCGCAGGGAAACAGAAGAGCTCTAAAAAGCAATAAAATTGGGAGCAGGGAGACTGTTTTCTTAAAGAAATAAAACATCCAAAGGAATATCAAGCTGTCTAAAATGGATGTCAAGAACTTTAAATAGTCTCTCTTTTTTTTGGTATCATATATGAAGAAATTTTAAAATACATTGGTAAGTATCTGACCTAGACTTTAAGAGAACCTAAAATACAAGAGTCAGGAAATACACCCTGAGTAATCACTGTCTCTATATTTAGTTAGGTAGTGCAAATGTGTACTTTCTACATGAGATCTTGAGAGGAGTTTAATAAAAAGTAGTGTGGCCCTGGCCGGGTGGCTCAGGCGGTTGGAGCATTGTGCCCTACCCCAGAAGGTGGCAGACCCCTGCTCAGGGCACATGCCTGGGTTGCAAGTTAACTGTGCTCTCTCTCTCTCTCTCTCTCTCTCTCTCTCTCTCCCCCCTCCCCCCACACTTCCTCTCTCTCTCTCAATGCAATCTTAAAAAGCATGTCCTTAGGATAAAAGTAAATAAATAAAAATTAAAAAAATATAAAGCAGTGTTCATGTTGGCATCATTAAACCACAGGTGACAATGTTTTAGTCCGGTAACAATTTCTCTAAGTCGGTGGATTTAAAATATGACATTCGCATTTTACCAAAGCGAGACAGTGAACAGATTTACTAGGCTAACACTGCAAGATCTGTGATGAGAACCAGAAGGTCTTTGCCCTGGTCGACCTCTCCCGGCTCCTCAGAGATAATTCTCAACTGTTTTAGCTGCTTTGCCCTTAGATTCGTCCTCATACATCGAAATAACTTACTTTATACTGACTTTTCTTGATTTTTTTAGTTGTCAACGTCACCTGTTGACTTTCTAATATAAGCAGGGAAGATCCGGCTCTTCACCTCTCCCCTCGCCCCGACGCACAGCCCCTCTCGCGCCGTGGAAGGCTGTTTCATCGTGCTTTTACGAGATCAAACAGTCGGCGTTCACACCCTCACGGCCGCGGAGCTGGAATTGGAAGCTGAGCCGCACTGTCCACTATGATGCTCCTTCCTGCCTCTCACCTTCTGTTCTTCCCGAACCCTGGTTTTCATGGCCTTGTTCTCCAAGGGCTCATCGTTCATTCCCCCCCACCCTCCGTCTCCCACCGAACAGTCTCCCTTTGAGCACCCCACACACCCCGGTGGTTCCCGCTCCTCCTCCCCGAGAGACCCCCCACCTGGAGCCCGCAGCCCCCCTGCGCCCACATGGCCCGCTGCCCCCGGGCTTGCGGCCCACCTGCCGCCCTGGGCACTCCCTTTTCTCTTACTGAACATCCCCAGTGCAGCGCCTCTTTCTGGTGCTGAGTCCTGACTCCTGAATCCCGAGTCGCCCTCCGCCTCGGTTTCCTCCCTGGTTGTGAAGAAGCGCATCTTCCAGTGTCCTCCTGAGAAAGGGCCCGCCTTTGTCCTTCCGGAATCTCTTCTGGAGCATCAGGAGTTGGCCCTGTCCCTGCGCCGCCTGGCTTCCCGGGGTCTCTGCCGGGGGCAGCAGTGGCCGGATAGAAAGGCAGGCGCAGAGGGGGCCCCTTCTTCCCCGTATCCCCGTATCCTGAAGACGTCTGGCCACGAACCACAGCGATGGAGGCTCCGGGGCCCCCGCTCAGTGGCGCCGGTGCAGTTCTAACAGTGGCAGTGACGGCAGAGGTGCCCCGTCCCCTTCCCGGCGGGAGCAACGGCCTCTTCTGGCTCCGGGTAAACGCCGCCTCCCATCCCACTGCGCCTTTCTCCCTTCGCCACAGTGGTTTTGTAAACAAGTATCTGTGTCAGATTGCCTCTACTTGAAATACTTACAGTGGCTTCCATTTTGCTGATGAAGCACAGATACACATTCTACTTGAAACCACGAGAAGACCCTACCCAGGAAACAAACACCCAATGTGGGACTAGACGGTCTATTAAGTGACGTGACCAGGGTCAACACATGGACGGCGTTCTCGGCAGGGAGCACTGGGGTGCTGACAGTGTCCACCCATTGCCTGTCATGGCAAAATGGTTCCTTAAACTGCGCTGTGGGGACCCGACATAAAGCACCTCTTCGGAGCCTCTTTGGGAGGCCAAGGGAGGGTAGACTTTGATCACTGCTGCAGAAATTAGCACCTCAGCAGCTCTGGGCTAGGCTGGTAGCTCCTGATGCGGCAGGAGAAATTATAAAAAGAAAACAAAATTAGGGCTTTCCATATCGAGTTGAACCACTGCCAGGAGTCAAGAGCCCCCTGTAAATTATGGTCCTATAAGATATTCTGAGGCTTGGGGGGGCCGAGCTGATACTGAAAAGCAGACTCCAAATTGGACCCTCTGGGTTACAGAACTACATCACAGGTTGACGTCACAGCTTAGCCATGTCTCTTTTTTTTTTTAAGATTTTATCTATTTATTTTTAGAAAGGGAAGGGAGGGAGAAAGAGAGAGAGAGAGAGAAACATCAGTGTGCGGTTGCTAGGGGTCATGGCCTGCAACCCAGGCATGTGCCCTGACTGGGAATCGAACCTGCGACACTTTGGTTCACAGTCTACGTTCAATCCACTGAGCTACGCCAGCCAGGGCACCATGTCTTTTCCTGAAAGTTACACAGTGGGGGGGAGTGGACCGTGCAAACTGGAGAGGAGACGGTGGGTGGATGCCGATGCACCTGACAGCCTTGAACCTCTCAGTCCCCTGACCCTCCTTGGCCAAAAGAAGCATCCTCTCGCTTCCTTGTTGGAGGGGAAAAAAAAAAAGTATCCTCTCTTGCTTGAACACTTTCGATGACCTCATCTTACACAGTTACCTTTAGAGGGGATGCCAGTGCTTCTCAAGATTCCATGCCCCCCCCCCACATTGTTGCCCCAAGACATGCCTGGATTCCAGCAGGTCCCTGGGGGAGGGGCAGAGTTCCACCCCCGTAAACCTGAAGGAACACTGGGACAGAAAAAGGAACAGGAGCTCAGAGAAGGCGGCACCATGAATATTCTAAAATCGGCCTCTCTTTCTCCGTGTGCAGAATCACACACCATGCATCCCCTGGAGGCGGGCAGGCAGGCCCGCGGTCGGGTTAAAGGGCAGCGGTGGTCAGAGGAGGACAGCCAATGTCACGGAGCGGCGGGGCTGGGCTTGGTGCTGTCTGGACATGGCCTCCTCGTGGGCCTCTCCTTCCAGCTCCCAGGTGAGCTGGGCTCCGGGTCTCCGGGGACCCAGAGGCCTCAGGTTGTCCAGAAGGTGGTGACCCCACAAGACCCAACACTCCGGAGGGAAAGAAAGGAGGCTGGCCAAGCCGTCCACTCTGTCCAGACTGCCCCACACTTGCTCAGTAGGACCCCTGTTAACCACGGGCCCGCTTGTCAAGAAGAATATTGTTTTAACGTAACATAAAAACAAAACAAGGTGTTTATTCATCTTTAATGAGGGATGAAGTCTCTTCTTTAGAAGAGACTGCACCCTATGGTCCTCCTGATACGGGCGCTACATGCTCTTACCTGTCAGCGCAGGAGCCGTCTGCACCTGTAAGAATGTTTTAGGGCATTTCAGCCAACCGGACCACAACTCCCGAGAAGCAAAATCTCAACAGATTGCGAAAGCGCTCCGGAGAACGGCAGCTCTGTAGCTGACTTTGCACACCAGAAGAAAAGGTGTGTTGTCTTAGATGCAAAAAGGCAACAGACAGACAGCATGCACGTGGGTAAGGAAGGGACCTGAGATTCACTGGTGGTAGATTGGGGGTGGGGGTGGGGGGCAGGAGAAAGCGAAGCCGGGCGGTCTCGGGGCCTGGAGCCTGGAGAGAGAGCCGAGCGGAGAGACGCACACGTGGGGAGAGCACACTCCCACACCGGTGGGGGCGGCACAGTGGACAAGCAGCACTGTCCGCACAGAAGTGTCTGCGGGGCACAAGGGGACGACGCCGGGCTCTGTGGGCTTGGGCTCCGGTGCAGCGGGTGCGCCTTGAGGGCTCTGGAAAGGGGGTTATTCCGACGTTCCAGGGAGAGTGTGTTCTCAGATGCACAGACAATAGACAGGCCGACTTAAGGTAAAAACCGACCTTTGTCCAGGCAGCTGCAGGCCTGGGACCCGACCACCCGCCGTGGCTGACTTTCAGTGAGGGGCTTGTGTGTTCAGATCCTCCTCCGTGGCTGCTTTCCGTCTCTGAGTGTGCGGGGCCGCCACACGGGCTCCCCGAGCCTGTGCGGGTCAGCACAGGACCCTCTTCCCGGTCCGCACTCACAGGAGCGTGTGGTGGCACACTGTTTGTGTTGTGACTGTTGTGACTGTGCTCTCTTCGGAGCCAAGACTCAAAAGATTTAGAAGCCGCCTGAATCCAAAAGCCCGGGTTTTTGCAGGGTGTTTTGTTTTTATCTTTGACGTGCCCACGTTTAGACATTTTAGTGACTCGCTTATTGCATATTGAGAGAGCACTGGATTTGCAGTCATTAAATCACAGCACACATGTAACTCACTTCATCATGTCACATCACGTCAGCAGGGCAGGCGATCACAATGCCAACCAAGTTCCATGAGAACAAACAGGGCTGGGGACAAAGCGAGCTGACCCCCTGGTCAGCGGTCACTCGGCCCGCTGGAGTCTGATCGCCCGTCCGGCCCGTCGGCTGCCTGTACGTCCCAGGGGGACGGCGTGTGGCCAGGCTCCCCAGAGCGGCGGGACCGTCAGGAGAGAAGCGCACAGAAAAGGACATACATGTCCACACACGTGACGGGGGAGGCGAGGAGTCCCACCATCTCCGGTCTGCCAACCTGAGACCCACCCAAGCCAGCGGCATCGAGCCGTCCGAGCCGGAAGGCCCGAGAACCAGGGGAGCCGATGGGGTAGCACTCGTCCAACGGCAGGAGAAGACAAATGTCCCAACTCAACTGGCAGGCAGGCCGGGGGGTGGGGGGGTGGCAGGCAGGGAGCCACCCTCCCTTCTTCTGCTCTGCGTTCTCTCTGGCCCTCAGTGGGCGGGGGAACGCCCACCCACGCGGGGAGAGCACCCGACCTCCCTGAGACCACTCATCCCCCTCGGAAACACCGTCACACGCAGACACGCCCAGGACTAGGGCTACTCAGGACACCCCAGGGCCCGGGCAAACTGACACCGGTGTGACCCCTGCCAGGGGGGGAGGGGGGAGTCCCCGAGTCAGCTGGGTAGAAGCCAGTGCCCCGAGCTTCTCCTAAGCCCAATGCCAACCTTTTAAACAAAGCGTCGAATGTCCTTCATTGCTCTCCCGCAAGCCTCCATGACCAAGATGACCTGCATGAAACGCCGGCCTGGCCTGACGCCGAGACTAAAACCGGCCTGCTTGCGTGCCAGACCTGAGCTCAAGGCCATGAGCAATGAACACTTGGGCCCTGGGCGCTCCAGGGGCCCTCCTCAGGCTCTGGGACCGAGAGCGCCTTGGCAGAGACACCGTTTCCGAAGCGGTCTGGGTCCGCGTCATCACACAGATGCGTCTCGAGCTGTGACTCACCCTGCGCCGCGGGTGCCCATCCCTCTGACATCTGAGTGCAGCCCGGGGCCAAGCGTGGGCGGGGCCTTCTCTGG